CCCCAGTTTTACTGGAAAGAAAGCTCATAAAAGTAGCTGTGATTCTTCTTGTGCATCTCTTTCCTTGCAACACAAATGACCATTGGCATTACAGACTGATTCTGAGCTGTGTATTTTACTGTGGGCATTGTTTTATTATCATTAGCGTTAAGGTAAGTGCTTATGAATGGTTTATTCTGAGATTTGTAGTGCAAATCTGGCACTTCCAGTTCAGATGCTTAAACTTTTTTCCATTCACAATATGATTTATAGCATCCACACTTAGACTGCTGATGAGTGCAGGACCACGCAGTGAGGCTACTGGTTAAGCACTGAAACTGGTATACCATTGCTCTTTCCTGCTCTAGAATATCTTCAAAGCCCAAGGTAGAGCAGAGCATCCTCATCAGTGTCAGATACCATTAACTGCTTTGCCAAAAGAAATGGCAGCTGCGCTAGTGAAGTTTCGAGTTGCTGAAAACTGTTCTGAAGATGAAAGAAGTGGAGCAAACCTGACGTGAAGGATGTTTTCTGCCATCAGCTGCTGCAGAGAGAGATTCTAGGTCTGCCAGCCCCAAGTGCCCCTTTCTTCCTCCAAATCTGAATACAGATTCACGTTCATCTGTCTTTGGCCCATCAGGGTTCTAAGCACTGACACTATAATTAGAAAAAATTATCTTAAAAAACAGCAAGAAGTTGTAAATTATGCTACTCCTTTTATTGTACTCTACTGAACAAAGTTAGAGTATGCCAAGCAGAAGAAGTGTTTAAAGCATAACTTTGCACGTCAAACATTCTTGGCTGCACGAGTAGTTAAATATATGGTGCATGTGAAACACTATAATATTGAAAACATTCTGCTGTAGTTTTAATCCCAGTCCTTTATCCTCTGTCCACGTTTTTCAGTGCTCCCCAAACTTTATTGCAGCTGTCCTAGATCACGGCAGCGTCTTTGTCTTCCTCAAAGCAGAACTGTGCCCTCTGCGGTCAGTTCAGGCTTTGTAGTCCAGAGCTGTTGTGTCAAGACCTCCTACTGATGCATTCATTCACAGTTAAAGAAGATATAGAGCGGCTTGTGTGCAGAAGCTGTGCCCTGAGTTAAAAGACGATGAAATGCCTGATAGATGCTTGAGTGTTCATGGCAGAGACCAGTTGACCACAGAGGGGGCAGTGAAAGAGGGGAGGGGAATTTAGCTTTACTGCTGGAATAGTATCAATGGAGGGAAATCCAGGAGGAGTGAAAAGCTTGTTTGTGTTTGCTCGGTGGTCGCTTTTCAGCCCAGTGACTTCCTTTCCGAGGCGGCAGTATAGCCGGTGTTATAACGGAGCATGGCAACTTGCGTTAGGGCAGCTGAATCAGAGATCGAAGAGGACATGTTAAAAAAGGGGGGCTTTGTGGGGGACCCTTGAGGAAGAAGAACTCTTTAGCAAAGCACAGGGGCACGTCTGCCCTACCGGCGCGTTACAGCAAGGGGCAGGATTGCGGGGGCCGGAGCACGCCGCGCCACCCCACGGCTCTGCTGCACGGTGCTGTTTCTAATGAGTCATTTCAGGTGAGGATCTGGCAGTCTCCGTGAAGAGGGCTAAGGCAGAGCTCAGGCGTCAGCGTGGGCTGCGTGCTTGGCGTAGGCTCTGCACCTGAGGAGACGTGCAGCTGCGGGCACGGCTCCGGAAACCCGGCTGGCCGGCGGGTAGACTGGCCGGTCACGGTGTGTGCCGTCACAGATGTGCCACTCTGTCACCTGCCTTGTAGCTGTAATGCAGCCCTTGGGCAAGGAGAACGGTGCCGACGTGCTCTAGTAGTGCGGTGGAGACCACGTAGTAACGCTTTACTTCATAGGACATAAATAAGTCAGAAACGGCACCGATCGCGTAACTGCTCGGCACCTGAAAGCGCGAGCGTTTGCGGCAGGACTGTCCCTTGGGGTGCAACGGGTCAATGCTGGGAATCGGATCGGGATCTTGACAGCGGAAAGCATCTCTGCAGCTTGTGCTAAGGAGCAAAGCTCTCGAGGGATTAGGTACAACTAACCCAAATCCTCGGCGGACGAGGCCAGAGATTGAAACACAGTTGATTTGTGTTTTCTTGGGGAGAGTAATAGAGATGGTATGGGGATTTTTACTGAGTCGGTACTTACTTCTTAATTGCTGGTGAGCTCAAAATACACTTTGATTTTCATAGATGTAAAAAACGATCTATTAAATCCAACAGCCTGCTGTAGTCTCTGTCACACACTTAGAAGTGATTTTTCCAGCATGGTGTTCCTGTGGGTTAAAAGTAAAACAAACAGTTTGTCCTGGCAAATCCCTGACTTATTTTTACTCGTTTCCCCAAACATTCTTCTACCAAGAGTCTGTGTGCGAGAAGAAGGCACAACTCCCTCAAAGCAGAGCACTGGGATTCCAGGAACTTGTTTCTTTACTACATGGTTTCGTGTGTGGTCTACTGTATAATTGTTTTACTTTCACTTTGCAGAGACCTGAAGCTGGACAATGTGATGCTGGATAGCGAAGGGCACATAAAGATCGCAGACTTCGGCATGTGCAAGGAGAACATCTGGGATGGGGTGACCACCAAGACCTTCTGTGGCACCCCGGACTACATTGCGCCTGAGGTAGGAGAACCGGAGGGGCAGTAGATGTTTCAAGCCAATGTGCTTTCAAGGCTGTTAAGGATAAAAATATCTGGCAGGAGAAGCTACTCCACAAAACATGTTCTGCTTCTGTGCAAGGTAGAGAATGTGCAACGGCTGCCAGGGGGGTTGTGCAGCCGTGGGCAATGTGGCACAGCTCCTGGGGCAAGACACAAAACGCATGAGGGGCTGCGTTTCAGCAGCTCGTCTGAGGCTCTCTTCCATGGGACGACTTTGCTTTGGGCAACTTTCTGCTGGAAAGTTTATGCCCTTAGCACAGTCCCTCCACCCAAAGGCGCTACCTACAGCTGCCTTTAAGGAAGCAGCCTGAGCTGGGTCTGCCTCTTCACTTGGCCACGTGCCCTGCTTGAGCCTCGAAGTACAGAAGATCCCCCTGGGTGGTCTTTTGGTGTGGCGTACCTGCAGGGTGTTCTCCCTGCTTGGGTGTTCTCGCGTCGGTCCTGCTGGCCTCCGTGTGCCGCTCTGGTTCTTGGTGCTCCCAAGCCCAGCTGAGACTTTCCCTCGTGCTTTCTCGCCCCGGGAACAGCTGAATCCCGGAGCTCGGTGCTGGTTTGGGGCCCCTCTCAGCTCACAGCTTGTGACAGGCGCTTCCAGCTGGTGGGAAGAGCGAGACGCACATGATAAGAGATGTGCTTGCCCATTGCCTGTCCTTCGTCTCTTGCACCCAAACCCTGACTTTAATTCCCACCTGGGATGGCAGCGTTCGCCGCGGAGGAGGACGCTCCTGTCCCTGGGCAGGCATCCTTCTCCTGCGGATGCTTGGGGCTGGGGAGGGCTGGGGAAGAAGGAGCGCTGCAGATTGAGTTATCGGTGGATAATATTTCTGCGTGAAGTGGAAATCTTTAGCTCTCACCAACTTGCTACTTGTAGGAAATGGCTGCATGTCTAATGAAAAATGGCTGCCAATCTGTAGCTTCAGATCGCTCAAAAATTATTTTGCATTTAGTTATTACTTATGTGATGGAGTCACATATAACAGTTGCATAAAGTGTTATATTGGTGCATTTTAATGTTGGATTTATAAAATTCAGGTAGACAATTATTCCCAAATGCCTATTTCCTTCAAATAAAAATATCCCTCTAAAATCTTCTCATTCTTCTGAATTTTCAATGATGAGATTAATTTTTTAATATTTATCCACTTAAATATTTTAGAGAAAGAGATTCCCTTTGCTAGGACATAGTTAGATGCACATGTATGCTGAACCACATTGTTTTTTGCTGCAGCCAGATAATTTTTAATTACTAGTTCAAGTGTGTATTATATATCCACATTCTACCAGGATTAATATTGGTGTCCTATTGGTATGTAGCTGTGTTGCTATGTGTGATTAATGCTCCTTCAAAGCAGGACAAATGACCAGTTCTCTTGGTATTTGGCTGAGCGTTATCATTTAAACACTTGTTTTCTTCTGCTTGCCCTTTTTTTTTCCCAAAAGAAAAGTAGGAAATGTGAAATTAGGATGCAAATCACTACTGTATCCAGGAATAATATTAAAGCCTGCTACAAGTAGGTTTCCAAGGAGTAAATAACACATCCCCTACTTCATAAATAGGGAAATGGTGTATAAAATTCTTGCCTGGTCTCTCATTTGGTGGCAAAGCCAGCGTCAGCCCCTGGGTCTGTATTTTCTAGTTCTAGTCCGGGGCCTTTCTACTGGACCACGCTTCCTCCCTTTAGGAAGATGAGATGTTCACTAGCCAACATATCTGCAGGGTAAAAATGTCCTGTGATTTGCTTGACCCATTTTTAGAGCTTTTTCTGTTCTAAGACACAGCCCTCTGCATGCCAAGGTGACAGGTATCGAGTGTAAATGACCATTGCTGGTATAATTTCCTCTGAAGTAAAAGTGTTCTTTAGTTGTTGTTTTTTGACCTTCCCTGGCATGCAGTTGGTGAGTTCAATTTACAGAGACTGGTTTTCTAAAAGGATTTCTTCTAAGTACTATTTTCTTTTAAAGGCCTTTATGGTTGTGAGTAGGTCACACCTAAATTTCCCAGGGCACTCACAAATCATCTAAAAACAAGTGGAAGGAACTTCAGATGAACGCGATTGAGGAATATCAGAGCTGAAATGCAGCGTCTGATCTCAGAAGTGCATGAACACTGCAGTGGGAAGGATCAGGCCCACACGGCTTGAATGCAGCACACTGTTAAGGGAGTCAGGAGTAGGTTAACCCATATTTAAGTATGTGGCTGGATGAGGACTCCACAGAAAAAAAGAAGATTGGCGTCAGTCTTGGTCTCTAATCTTGCCCCAGTGCTTTGCTTTTGTAGCATTAACCTCCTCTCTTCTTAGGTGGGATGACAACAGCTGTGATTTACGTCTTGAAATGCCTCCTGCTCAGGTTGCGTTGGGCACTGCAGAGGGTCTGCAGAAAGCTGCTGGTGCATTAGACCAAAGTAGTCTGTTCTGAGCTGTTCTCCTTAATTAGGGAAGAGGCTCATTTGAATATTATTCAATTGAGAGCTTCCTGTCACACCATCCTCCAAGGGAAATTGGCCCTTCCCATGTTTTCCAGCTGACAGAGATGATTGCCTCTTACATTTTGTGGCTGCAGTGCTGCACTATATAAGGCTGCAGGAGTCATCTGCAAACATGCCCTGCCTTTTGTAAGGGTGGTGGGGGAAGATACATGCAAGGGCTCTTTTAGGCTGCAGGTATCTGCCTATATACACTGAGCTGTGGGCTTGGAGCTTGTTCATGAGCAGAGGTAGAGAGGTGGGAATGGTGGGGGCAAACCTCTGGGGCTGGATTGCTCTGCATGCATTCTCCTGTGATTAGCATATGATTTGCATTTGTACTTGAATATATGAATCTTTGCAGAATAGAATTCTGTAATTAGGATGAATAAATTGTGTAATTGTTTTGCATTAAGTAACAGATGGCAAAGCCGAAGGCCTGTCAAACCCTGAACGCTGAAATGACGCCCATCAGCAACAACCAAGCAAATATACCAGAGCTTGAAGGAGCAGAAATGTCTCTGCAGGAGCCAAACTCCTTTTATATCCTCTCTGGGCTCTCGTGGGTTAAACGTGTCCCTGCACCCATCTAGTCGTTGTCTCCAGCTTCCTGCCGCAGTCTGGATGTGCTGGAGAACGGAGAGACCTCCTCGTCCTGGAGGAGAAGGAAGAGGCTAGAAATGGGCAAACCTCCAGCTGTGCCTGGACAAGCAGCCCTAGGGGCTGCTTGCTGTGCAGAGCCGGCTGGCCCCGTGGCGTCGGGCCGCGGAGGCAGTCCCCACCTTCCCCTGCTCCTCAGAGACCTCGCTGCCGGCGCGAAGGCTTTCTCCTCCGCGAGGCTGGAGGTGAGCGTGAGCACGCCGCCAGCAGCAGCAGCGGAGCGCTGTCCTTGCAGAGCGGCAGGATTTGCTCGTTAGCCCTTCCAAGGACACCGATCGGTTCGGGGTTTCGGGTTCAGTCCCGGCATGTCCAAGATTTCCTTCTGTCTGCGCCGGGCAGTTGCCATTCGTTTGCAGCCGGCGTTGCGGTGGGGCGCTCCGGAGCGCTCGGCTGCGTTCACAAGACCGTTTCCGCCTGCCAGAGACCCCTTGGCTGGGGTCGCCCGTAGATACCCCCAAACCGCTGATGCACGACGGCGAAGTCAGGAGCTCTGCGGAGCTGGTGAACAAAGCTGGCTGCTAAATTTTGATATTAGAAATTGAAGGAAATACTGAAGTTACATCATTTGAACTCCGAAACAATCCCACGGTTAGGGTAAAGATGATGCTGCCGGGCTGTACTGGGTTGTTGTGTGAGGGACGTTCTGTAATAAATAACAGAAAGCGAAGTGGCAGGCTGAAACGCAGAGGGTTTTGACTCCCCATGTGCTGGAAGCCTGTTTTAAAGGGCCGCTGGCTGTGCACAGAGGGCCAAGTGCTGCGTTGTTATTTCAAAGCAGCTGCACTGAAGTCAGAGGAAAAAAATCAAGACTGACATCAGTGTAACCAAGAACAGCTTCTGCTCCTTTCCCGGCTGAAGCAACGCGCTTTGCTGCGATGCGTCTGAAAGAGAGGAGCAAGTACGCTAAAGCTTGGTCTGAATCGGAATGAGTCGGTCCAAATTCACAGTGAATATTCTGATTTTTGTCTAGTATGTAGTGTGTGTTTGAGGGCTGGTTATTTTTTAGTTACTGTACCCTTTGCCTATCATGTGTTTTGTTTATATCTGCAATTTCACGCCGTTTCAGAGACTCAAGCCTCAGTCAATAACCTTGTCCTTTTGACCTGGACTACAGCTTGAAATTAGTTTGCATTGTGCCAACAGGTTAAAAATGGAAGTGTAATCCTGCTGTTTCTGTGTTGTTTTCAGATAATTGCTTATCAGCCCTATGGGAAGTCAGTGGATTGGTGGGCATTTGGAGTCCTGCTCTATGAAATGTTAGCCGGCCAGGTAATTGAATTTTAATTGATTCCTATGGGATTGTGTTAAATTCCATTGCGAGCAGATGCTGACGTGTAATTTGTTTTGTCGCTGGCAAACTGTGGGGTGCCATCCACTCCGCGTTGGAGATCAAGTCCTGGATTACAGCCACGGGGACTGGCAGCTCGGCAGCGTGCAAGGCTGGGAGCCATGAGTCACCGCACACCCAGAGCAGCGAGAAGGGCAGCAGGGGGCTGATTTTCCAGCTGAAGATCAGAGAAACAAATGAAAGATCGAAGACAGAAATGCCACTGAACCTCGTTTTCTTTGCTCTAGGCTCCCTTTGAGGGCGAAGATGAGGATGAGCTCTTCCAGTCCATTATGGAGCACAACGTAGCCTATCCCAAGTCCATGTCCAAGGAGGCAGTGGCAATCTGCAAAGGGGTAAGGGCTCACCTTTGTTTTCTGGGAGGAGTAAGAACTGATTGCGATGGTTTGACCCTTGGGTGCCGTGCTGAACGCACCTGCCCGTGCGAGGGGGATCCAAACCTCTCCTTCCTCTCGTTGCTCTTGCCTGGACCGCAGGCTCCTAGAGCGAGGGAATTCTGGCCAAAATCTGTTACGTTCCAGCATTTGTGCTCTCTGCTCCTACAAGCAGAACTTGCGCTATTTCATGTATATGTGCTAAACATAATTTAAAATAACACCTAGATCCTTTTTGTGCCATCATGCTGCTACTAAGTAAGCATGTTGCTTTGAGGACAAATCAGTTGTTCATCCCGTACTTTCACTGGTAGCACCTCCGCCTTTGGTCCTGAGGCTCCAGCCGCTCTGTGGCTGCTGCTGAGCCAGGGCCCAGCCTGGTGGGACTCATGGAGCCTTGTGGCAAGGGAAGTAGAGATAAAGCATCATCCAGTTTTTAATCAGTTTATTCAATGGATCTCATGTCCTCTAAATGGCTAAAAAAGACATTTAGGAACAGGATCCATCTGTTCTGCTGGATAAGTGGCAGGTACATCAACATCTACAGGCAGGACCTGGCAGATGGAGAAGGGATTTCAGTAGTCCACCGTGCAGAAATCCAGGTGGGATTTGAGGGTTGGTCTGCCCGTGTTCAGCGAAGGTCAGGGGAAATCGGAGCGCTGGATGTGGTGCGGGAATAGAGGGCCCCTGCCCGAGACTCTCCTGCCCTGCCAGATGGCAGCAGGGGAGGTTTGTGCAGCAAAAGAAAAATGATGCTGGGAGACAAGACACCTCAATGTGTTTTCTAAATAATTTTCTTAAGTTCAGATACAAAGCCCTCATCCTGCAGAGATTTACGCTTAGGTATGATGAGTCACCCTTTTGGGCTGCCTGAAGTTCAGTGCTGGTGTGCGTCTCTGTTGGGTCAGGATAATATTTTTGTTATCAGATCTCTTAATTTGCAGTGAAGCTCTGTATTGCCCAGGGTCCTGAGCTCTCCATGGACTGAGCCCGGGTATGACTTGAAAGCAGTTTGACTTTCAGTTGTGATGAGTAAAGGCTGGCTAGATCCTGATGTTATGCGTATGGTTATTTCTTGGAACTGAGCCGTTTTTCAGCCAGCCAGTGTATAAGTTTAATCCAAACATTTCTATAATTATGTGCTTGTGTAAGAATTTTTTTTAAATGTTTACTTCTAATAATTAATATTTAAAATATCTGAACGTTCTATATCTCAAAATAGTGCTTCTATCTACAAATGACACATCTGCATTTAGTGTTGCCGCTGAAGCCTTTCAAAGTCCCTTTCCAGTTTCAGCCGGATTCGTAGTTTGTGTTCCAAATGGAAGTGTTTGCTTCTCTGATGGGGAAAAGCTGCTGAAAGTGTTCCACGCTTGAAACGGGTCAGAGGGAAATAATGTTTTCCAGGTCACTTGGCAGTCAATTTCAGTAAAATGTAGTAAAATCCACACGTTAATTTAGAAACCACACTAGTAATTGGAGGGGAGTCTCCACAAACTTTCTCTCCTTGTCTCCTCCTCCTTGTTGTCTGGATTGGGGCATAAGGGGAAAGTCTGCTATTTTTCTGGCCGTACATGAAGAGGGGAAGATGCTTTGTACAATTAGATATTGCTGTGCCCGCAGTGCCCTGGGGAATGATGCTGGCGAGCGAGCAGAGGTTGGAGCAGTGATAAATCTAGCTGTCTGCTTTGTTTTGTGTTGCATCAGTCAAAATCTGAATGTTGTAAATAGACAAGAACAGACCATGATTGAAACGTCTGCTGGATGTAGCTGTAATGGCTTTTCTCACTTCTGGCAAACGTGAGGCTGCATGGGGAGAAGTTTAGCCATGCGTGGCAGGCTTGGTTCCTTGGTAAATTCTTTTATTTTTTGCAGCCAAATGGTGGTTCCATATGTACAATTTCTGTTTCAGGGAAGAGTACAAAAACACGTGATGTTCTTTTCCACCCCCAAACCGCTACACCAAAAAGAGCGTTCTGAAAAATATGTGTAATGTTTAAGAACCTTCAGTAAGCTGGAAACAGAGTATTTACCTTTTCCCCTGGAAGACAGCGAAGTACCCGGCCGGTGACACGGGGCCTCCCAGCCTGGTTTGCGTTGGCGCACGATCCTTTTCCAGGAGGGTCAAACCCAGCCGCGCGCCGTTCGGCGAAGGAGCCACGGGAGGAGGCTCTGCACTGAAACGTGACGGGCTTGGCACTTTACGGGCACGCTCTCGCAGAACGGTCGAAGAGGGATTGTGTTCTGCACGGCTCCGTGGCAGCGGGCTGGTGCCGCTCGTCGGGCGTTCACCAGAGAGCTGGCTGGGAAGCGACGCGGAGGCTTAGCCCGAACGTGGGGCTCGGTCTCCGTCCGCGCCAGCCGGCAGATCGGAGCTGGCGTTTTCCTGCCCTGCTGTCAGCCTAGGTCGTCTCTGAAGCCTGAGGCCGCGCTGCCGTTTTGGTGGTGCAGGTACCTTACCTTGGCGGCCCTGGTCCTAACGGCCCTGAGCTCCAGGGCCGTTATCAGAAGCCAGCTCTAAAATCACATAGGCTCCGACTTCACATTTTTGGAGAGGCTTGTGCAGGCCCAGGAGCACTGGCACAGATAATCAGCCATTTTCTGCCCCCTATGGAGGGCTGTGCCTGTGCCCGCGCAGAGCGGCTCTCCTGAGCAGAGCGGCTCTTTCCAGGTGAACAGATTGCCTGCAACCACAAGCTCCCCCTTTAATCTCTGCCTGATAGCAAAGGCATGAAATGGCATGTTTTCTGCGGTGAAGTTACCGGCGCTTTGAGCGGTGTTCCCACCGGTGGTGCTGCCTGGGAAGAGAAGACGGTACCTGCCCAGCGCGTTGCTTCGGCCGTGCCGGAGTTAGGGGTGCGCCCGTGCCCCCGCAGCCTGCGCCTCGCGGGCGGCGAACGGAGCTGGCGCGCTGCTGGGGAGGCTGGGCGTGCAGAAGGGCAGCGCAAGAGCTGAGAGTATTTTTGGATCTCTTATCACGTGCGTTCTCGTTGGATGATTTAGAGGGGGGGTGGCTGGATTTAACTCCAGCTGACGTTGCAGGGGGGGGGACGGGGGGGGGGATGGGCCGGGGGGCACGGGGGCGG